GACTCAGGAGCTGAGGCAGGCCTCAAACTTTTTTCCTTCTTTCTTTTTCCTTTTTGTGTTTGTCTTTTTGAGACAGGGTCTCACTATATAGTTCAGGCTGGCCTTGGGCTCACTTTGCAGCCCAGGCTGGTCTTGAACTTGCAACGATCCTCCTGCCTCAGCCTCCTGAGTGCTGGGATTCTAGGTGTGTGCTCCCATACCTAATTGTGATTGAGCAGAAAGCCAATGGCATCGAGAATACAGAGGAACTGAATGAAACAATTGGAAGTCGGAGAAGCGGGCAGGAGGAAGCCCACTGGCTCGGAGTTTGGAGGTCTCTGGACATGAGGGTCTGGGAAGTGTGGTACGATGGCTCGAGTGGGTTTCACATGTGGAAGTTTAGTTCCCACTGTAAGATGTGCCCACTGTAGGCTGACACCTATTAAGAGGGTGGAAACTTTATCTGACTATGGGATTTGGAGGTAGAGCCGTGGGGGTGACCAGCTTTGGAGGAGTCATCAGGGTGAAATGCCTGTGGTTGAATCCTGGAAGTGAGAGACCAAAAGATCCACGTGTGTATTCTGTCCCGCCACCACCAGCTACAGCCCCTCAACTTTAGAACTCCAGAACCAAGGGTCCAAATAAACCTTTTTTCTCTATACAGTTCCTGCCCTCGGGTATTCTGTAATAGTAACCACACAGAGGAACACACCATGTTCCAGAGAATACAACATCACCTAAAGCCACAGCACTGGGGAGATCACCCAGCGAGGCCATGCGAGTGGAAAGCTTGGGGCAGCTATTCCCAGCCTGGGTGATGGGAGGGCAGAGGAGCAGCAGCCAGCAGGGAGGAAGAGAAGGCGGGGCCAAGCAGTGGGTTCCATGCAGCACCACAGCCAGAAGAGGGCAGCGCAGGCACCGTGGAGGTCCTTGGTCACAGCCCCTTCCTTGGAGCCTTGAGATCACGACTCTCGATGCGTCTAGAAAGATCAAAAGGGGAACGGAGACAGGAGTGAGAATCAGGAAGGGGCGAGGGCAGTAGGGACGGCCCCCTTCGGTTTAGGAAGGGCCCGTGGAAGGAAGGCTGCGGGGTGAAAGGAAGGAGACTGGCTGGGGAGAGAAAAACGGAAGGCAACACTGAGGGCCCGGCACAGCCCTGACCCCTGAGGGAAAAATCACCAGGCAGAGACAGCGGTACTATCTTCCTTATGCATTTTGCACACGTCAGATTTTTAAAAGCATTGCTCTGAGACACACTCACCATGAACACATCCGTTCAAATGTACGGGTGGCGAGGTTTGGGTGCTGCTTTAGATTCGGATCTGAAGTCTTTGTTTTGTTTTGTCTGTTTGAGGCAGGGTCTCGCTATGCAGTTCAGGCTGGCCTTGAGCTCACTTTGTAGCTCAGGCTGGTCTCGAACTCGCGATGATCCTCCTGCCTCAGTCTCCCGAGTGCTGGGATTACAGGCGTGCGCCACCACCCCCGGCTCGGATCTGCAGGCTTGGTGAGCTGATCAGGGAACGGAGAATTTCCCAGTGCTTCAGAACCGGACTGAACCCGATGGAAAACGCTCTGCACCGAGGAGTTGGAAGGCAACCAGCTGTGTTACACTGCTGGGCTGATGGGGGATCGCTCCCAAAGCATCAGCCCAGAGCCAGCTTCGCGCTTAGTTTATACAGGTTTGCAAGCTGGACTTATAAAGGCTTAAAAGAGTGGTGAATTTCTATTGGGTAGGATCAGTCATCGCTCGTTGCTGGGCAGAAAATCCTTGAAGGAAGTGAGTAACAGCGTTGGTCATCTCTCCTTGCTAGAAAGTACAGGGTGTGCAGCTGAATGCGGTCAGACAGAGCTGGGTCAGGTTATCTCTGGTGTAGTCAGTCAAGGCGGAATGGGTCTTCAGACGAGCTACGTGGTGGGCTGCACGATCTTATTTTGTCCTAATATGGTGTCAGACGACTGGCTGACTTTTAAACTTTTAAAATTTCCATTACACCAGCAGAGAGGGAGATGGGGGTGGGTCTGGGGTCTGGCAGTCTAGAAGGACCTCTGAGGATTGACAGAAGCACTCCCAGCTGACAGGGACCTCATGGGCTCCTGTGTAGGTACTATCCCTACTTCTGCTCTCTCCTGCTGCCGGGCACGCAGGACCATGGGGTGTGCTTGGGATTTTGTTTGTTTCTGAGACAGGGTCTCACTATGTAGTTCGGGCTGGCCTCGAACTCACAGCGATCCTCCTGCCTCAGCCTCGCTGGGATCACAGGCGTGCGCCCAGACGCCCCGCTGCCCTGGACTGTTTCAAGAGCAGCCACGAGCAGGGATGGGGCGAGGAGCCATGCAGGAGCGCGGGGCAGAAGAGCGGTTCTGGAATTAGCCGGTAGAACTGGCTGAGGGGGAAGACAGGAGGGAAGCGGAAGTTGCCGGGGCATAGTGGTGGTTTGCTAGCTGAAAAGCTGTAAATCCCGCAGGAGCGGAAACGAGGGCCCTCCGGAGCTTAGCACGGAGGGAGGTGGTTTCGCTGGGTGACTGAGCCATGGCTCCCGGGAGTAGACGGGCGGCGTTTGCAGCGGGCAGCGCGCCCTCTGGTGGGCCTGGGTGGAAAAGACAGCGCGAGGACCGAATTCTCACGTCGGCGGTCAGCGGAGTCCTGGAATTGCGGAGCCTGAAGAGGAAGACGAAGAGAAGCCGGCGGGCAGAGGGGAGCGGAAGAGGAGGCGCTGGGGGGCTGGGGAGGGCGCCCTCCCGAAGAGCAAAGAGTCCTGAGAATAGTGATCCCGGTACTAAATGTCAGAGAGATCGAGGAGGGTGAAAGGTAAAAGTGGTTACTGTAATCCCAGGACTTTGGGAAGGGTGAAGCAGGAGGATCGCAAGTTCGATCCCACCCTGGGCCATTTAATGGCTTAGCAAGATACTATCTCAAAATAAAAAAGAGCTGGGGATGTAGCTCATTGCAAAGGCCCTGGGTTTCTAACCCAGGAGCTGTAAATCACCCCTTTGTCCAGTGTGTGTATCCAGGCTATACACGAAGTGTGGGTAAAATACATGGATGAGCCGGGCATGGTGGCACACGCCTGTAATCCCAGCACTCGGGAGGCTGAGGCAGGAGGATCCTTTTGAGTTCGAGATCAGCCTGGGCTACGAAGTGAGCTCAAGGCCAGCCTGAACTGTGCAGGGAGACCCTGTCTCAAAAAAAAACCAAGCAAACAAACAATAAACATGGGTGAAGGTTTAAATTTTTTAAAATGTATTGAAGACAGGCAAGGATGGCCAGGAGTTTGAGGCCAGCCTGTCCTACATAGCAAGACCTTGTCTCAAAAAAAAAAAGAGGAAAAAAATGTACTGAAAAAGACACATTCTCACAAATCCCCGTCAAAATAATCTCCTTCCCTTCCAACATGCTTACCCATCCTTTCTGCCACTTTCTTTTTGTTTGTTTGTTTGGTTGGTTTTTTGAGACAGGCCTGGAACTCACCACAACCCTCCTGCCTCAGCCTCCCGAGTGCTGGGATTATAGTCATGTGGCCACCATGCCTGGCTCCATTTTTGCTACTCCCTATAGCATTCTGGAAGTCCTCTTTCCTCAGTGTCTTTATGAGGTATGTCCCAAAGTGCAGTGAACGCTGCTGCAGAGTGCGATGCAAGGGAAAGGCAGGGTTGTAAAAACAGGGTGGTGAGTCCTCGTCTGCCTTATTCATCGGATCTGGCACTGTGCAATTTCTGTTTCTTCCCTGAAGTCAAGATGTTTTGAATCGATTTAGGACAGCAAGGCAGCCAGGACAGCGCAACACATTGCTCTGTAGCCACTTGGGTTATCAGATCCGCGGGTGCAACAGCGCTACGCTGCATTCCATGTCCCTCACCCACGGGCCCCAGGCAGCACAGCGCCTAGCACGTCAGCTCCCTGCATGTCGCCACGGACGCACTGTAGCACCATGATGAGGAGAACAGTGAGCTTGGGAGAAAGGAAGAGAGAACATTCACATGACTTACTGCAGCACATTTTTATACTTGTTGCATTTACTATTATTGTTGTTAATCCCTTCCTGTGCCTCGTTTATAAATTAAATTTCATCACAGATGTGTCTGTTCAGGAAAAATAGTAAACACAGCGTTCAGTTCAGTGCTGGACTCAGCTTTAGGCACCTTGCTGGGGTTGTGGAACAGGTGATTATTGCATAGTTTCAGCTGGATGGGAGGAATGTCTTTGAGATGTATTGCATAGCATGGTGGCTCGATTAATAATAACATACTATATAAGTGAAAATCACTAAGAGAACAGACTAAGCGTTCAGTACACACACACACACACACACAAAAGATGAATTTTTGTTTGTTTTGAGATGGAGCCTCACTATATAGTTCAAGTTGGCTTTGAACTCACTATATAGCCGCGGCTGGCCTCAAACTCCCTGAGATTCTCCTGCCTCAGCCTCCCATGTGTGCCACCATGTGTGCCACTGAATGGAGCGCGCTGCCCGCTCCATGTCTGGCCACAAAGGTGAATTTTTGAGATGGGATATGTTCATTTGCTTGATTCAGTCATCCCATAATGTAGCCAGAGATCAAAATATCATGTGATGCCCCATAAATATAAACAACATTATTTGTCAGTTAAAAGAAATAAAATATGTGATGCCCCATAAATATAAACAACATTATTTGTCAGTTAAAAGAAATAAAATGTAAAGTGAGAAGAAAGATTAAGAGGCATTACCACCTAATAAAGTAAGGAACGCCTGGCTTGGCACTGTAAGACTTGTCAATGAGGCAGATTCGGACCTGACAGGTAGTCAATAATCTAGGCACTGCCCTGCTGGAAGTGAAGGTCAAAGCCGCACCTGACCTGTTCCCGTCGCTGACAGGAAGCGACTGCTAAAAATAGAACCTGGTGCGGGAGAGCCAGGGCTCCTTTTCCACAGAAACCCATGCAGCCTGCCGCAGCCTGCTCTTCTCTGCTCTTTCATTGTCCCGTTCAATCCCTTTACTCTACGTGAAAAAAAAAACTGGTGTTCATGCACAAATCCTGTATTTACTTATGTATTTATTTATTTTTATTATTTTCATCAGCATCAAGTGAAGGAAGAGAGGAACTCGTTCCTATGGAAACGCCCCCGTTACATCCGGGACATCCGTGCTGGTGCTCGTCTTCATATTCCAACATGAGGTTTGTGCGGCTGTTTAACCAAAACAAACGACAGTCGTGAAAGGATTCTTGTGAGCCATGTTTCTAGAATTTCAGTATTTTCTAAAATTTATCATCGTGAAGTCAAGGACAATTTTATACATAGATAGATATAGATATATAGAGAGACATATATCTATATCTATAGATAGATATCTGCTATGGGTAGGGTAATTTTGTGCTAGAGTGGTGATAAACTACTTTAAAAGAAATGGATTCTAGGCTGTTTTCTCTGCCAGGCTACAATCTTTCTGTTTAATTTTTTTTTTTTTTTTTGGTCTTTTTTGAGACGGGGTCTCGCCATGCAGTTCAGGCTGGCCTTGAGCTCACTTTGTAGCCCAGGCTGGTCTCGAACTAGCAACGATCCTCCTGCCTCAGCCTCCTGAGTGCTGGGATTACAAGCGTGTGCCACCATGCCTGGCTAAAATAAATTTTTTATTTAAAAATTTTCTAAAAGTTAAGTGCAAAAATAAAGATATCCTTACATAAGCACAAACTGAAGGAATGTGATGCTAGCACATCCACCCTGGGAGGAAGACAGAAGGAAAATCATGTTGCAGATGAAGAAAGTGAGACGGTAGCTCAACACACAGGAAGGTGTGAAGACTATTAGAAATAGTAAACGTGGGGGGCTGGGGATTTAGCTCAGCGGCAAAAGCGCCTGCCTGGCATGCGCAAGGTCGTGAGTTTGGTTCCCGGTACCGTAGAAAAACCAAAAAAAAAAAAAAAAAAGAAATAGTAAACGTGGAGGTAACTACAAAAGACTCCTCTATATCTTTTCTTCCCTCAATTTCTCTTCTCTTTCTTTTTGTTTTTTGAGACAGGTCTCATTACATAGTTCAGGCTGGTCTTGAACTCACTATGTAGTAGCCCAGGCTGGCCCCGACCAACAGCAATCCTCCTGTATCAACCTCCCATGTGTTCGAATTACAGGTATGGGCCACCTTGCCCAGCTTCTTTATTTTCTATAAAGTTTTAAAATATTACACAAATCAGATCTTCAGCAAGGCTGGTCAAGAAGAAAAGACACAGATTACCAAAATCAGTAATGACAGGGTAAAAATCATTACAGATCCTAAATAATCAAAGAGACTATAATGACTGTTATGGAGGGTTTTATGCTAACAAATTAAACAATTCAGGCCAGATGAACAAATTCCTGTCAACACACAAATTACTGTAAGTCTTTATTAAGAAAGTTTGAGCCATGCATGGTGGAGCATGCCTGTAATTTCAGCACTCAAGAGGCTGAGACAGGAGGATTGCTGCAAGTTTGAGGCCAGTCTGGACTACATAGTGAGTTCAAGTCATCCTGAACTGCATAGCAAGACCCTGTCTCAAAACAAAAAAAGGAAAAGAAAGTTTGAATTGACCAATTCCCTATTAAAACATTGAATTTGAATTAGTAATTTAAAAATCTTCCCACAAAAAAAGAGTCTTTCTACAAAGAAAAGTCCAGGCGCCCATATTTCTCAACTGATGAATCCTATTAAATATTTAAAGAAGAGATAATAGCAAGGCATGGTGGTATATAACTATAAGCCCAGCACTCTGGGAGGCTGAGGCAGGAGGACTGCAAATTTGAGCCCAGGCCAGGCAACTTGGCAATTTATCAAAATCCTATCACAAAATTTAAAATAATTAAAAAAGAGGCTGGAGATGTAGCTAAGTGTAAAGGCCCTGGGTTCAATCCCCAGTATCATACACACACACACACACACACACACAACAAAGGTGAACAAACAAATAAGAAGAAAGAGGTAATAACCAATTCTATATAAATATCAATACTAATTCTATGAAAATGCTTCTCCAAAGGAGAAAGGAACATTTCCCAACTCACTTTGTAAGGTGAATATAACCCTGAGAACCAAAGCCAAACAAAGACATACTGAGAAAACAGGAGACCAACATTACTCATCAACATAGACACAAAAATCGGTAACAAAACACTGGCAACTGTATTTAGCAATGAGTAAACAGGATTATATACTGTGACCAACTGGGTTTTACCTAGGAAGCCAACATTTATTTGATCCCCAAATGTCAGTAGATGTAAGATACCACATTAATTGAGTAAAGAAAACAATATGATTATCTCAATCTATGCAGAAAAAAACAGTGTTTCACAAAATCCACTACCCAGTCATGAGTAAAGCAAAAAAGAATAAAACTCTCAATAAATTAGGAATAGCTGGGTGTGGTGGTACATACCTGTAATCCCAAGCACTTGGGAGGCTGAGGCAGGAGGACTGATGTCAGGTTGAGGCCTGCACTACATAAGTAAGTTCAAGGCCTGCGTGCACTATCTAGCAAAACCCTCTCTCAAGAAAGAAAAAGAAACTAGGAATAGAGGAGATTTCCTCAGCCTGATAAAGAGTATCTACCAAAACAAACAAACAAACAAACAAACAAACAAAAAACCCTAAAGCTAACATTGTGTTTAATTAAAGACTGAATTAATTAAAGACTAAATATTTCCTTCCTATGATCAAGATTAAGACTGCTTACAACACTTTTATTTAAACTTTGTAGGAGACTTTAGTAAGTACAAGAAGGAAAAGAAAAATTTAGAGACATATAGATCTAACAGGAAAAAGTAAATTTGTCATTATTCATAGATGCCATAAACTTATATGGGGAAAATGTTAAGGATTCTATTTTAAAAAAAGAAAACAAACATCTACTAGAACAAATAAACAAGGTCAGAAGATACAGCTACTACATATGGAATATTCACAAACCACATATCTTACAAATTACTTGTATTTTATGCTTGGATTACTATTGCATTTTCATAAATTACAAACAATCACAAAATGAGATTAGAAAAAAACAATTCCATGCACAATAGCATAAAAAAATAATAAAAGCTGGGAACAAATTTGGCAAAGGAAGTGATAAAACTTGTTCATCAACAAGTACAAAAACATTGCTGAGATTTAAAGGCGATCTAAATAAATGAACAGATATACTATGTTCATGGAGTCAAAGACTCAGTATGAAGTCCAAATTCCAAATTCATCTATAAAAAAAAAACAAAAAAAATTCATCTATAGATGCAATGATATCCCTACTGAAATCCCCAAAAGCTTTACAGTAATTAATAAGATGACCCAACATTTATACACACACACACACACAAAGGTACACAAAGGACCTAAAGTTTTGAAATAGAATGAGTTTGAGGACCCACCCTGATTTCAAAGTTTACTATTAAACTATAGTAATCACGATAGTGTTGTATTGGGATAAGGACAGTCACATAGAACAGTGGGATGGAATAGAAAATCCAGGGGAAAAAAACACATTTATGGTCAACTGTTTTTTTTTACAAAGGTGCTAAAAAATTCAAAATTGAAAGAATTTTTTTCAACAAATAATGCTAGAACAGTGGGACATCTAGATGCAAATAACCAAGAAGCCAAGATCCTTACCACAAAATTATGAATAAAACTAATTCCAAATGGACCAGAGACCTAACTGCAAGTGTCATGGCCATCCACCTCCAAGAAAAAGCGCAGAAGGAAGTCATTGTGACCCTTGCCTAGGCCAACACTGCTTAGACATCTCCCCCAAAGCATCAACCCAAAAAGAATAAACTGATAAAATGGACTTCATCGAAACTGAAAACATTGCTTTTCCAAAAGCACTGTTAGTAGGATGAAAACATAAGCTACTGACTGGGACAAAATATTTCCAAATCACATATCTGACTAATTCCTTGTATCTAGAATGTATAAAAACTGTTCAAAATCAACATGAATCTTAAAAATCCATTTAAAAATCAGCAAAAGAGCACCAGATACTTCACAAAAGAGGCTATATGAAAGAAGAAAAGACATAAAAAGAAGACATACAGATACAAATTTTTAAATAAAAATACTGACTAATAAACACTGGTGGACTGGGGATTTAGCTCAGTGGCACAGCACCTGCCTGCCAAGTGTGAGGTCCTGAGTTTGATTCCCAGTACCAAAAAAATAATAATCATAAACCCTGGCAATGATGTGGAGAAACCAAATATCATACATTACTGAAGAGAATGGAAAAAAAGGGTTAGCGTTTTCTAGTAAAACTAAACATGCACTTATCTTACAATCCATCAAACATACCCTGAGCATTTATCCCAGAGAAATGAAAACTCAGATTCGTACAACCTGTGATGAGTGCTCGTCATAGCTATCTTGGTAGTTAACCAAACCCAAAATAATCCAAAGGCCAGTGCCCATGTGGCTATTGGATTTGGTACATCTGAATAATGCCACATGACTCAGCAATAACAAGGAACAAATTACTGACAAATATACAACTTGGGGGCTGGTGATGTAGCTCAGTGGCACAGCACCTGCCTGGCAAGCACAGGGTCCTGAGTTCGAGTTCTAGTACCAAAATATATAATCCAAGTTCCCTCTCCCTCTCTCTCTCTATATATATATATACATATACATATATATATATGTATATGTATATATATATATGTATCTTGAGTGGATCCCAAGGATGTTACCCAAAGTGAAACAAGTCACCTCCAAAGAAAGACTTCATACTTTTTGATTCCATTTATAGAATACTCTTTTTTGTTTGTTTATTTTGAGACAGGATCTTGCTATGTAGTTCAGGCTGGCCTTGAGCTCACTTTGTAGCCCAGGCAGTCCTTGACTCAAGGCAGTCGTCCTGCCTCAGCCTTGGGGTGCCGGGACTACAGATGTGTGCCACTTTCTTGAGATGACAAAATTAAAGAGGAAGAAATCAGACCCGTGACTGTCAGTGGGCTGGGATGGGAGAAGGGAGGTATTCCATGCACGTTTAGGGAATCTTGAAACAAGAAAGAAGTCTGTGCATATTTAGCAGAGCTGCAAGTCTTGCCCCTGGTATTTTCAACTGGAAGTTGGTTGAATCCAGGGACAGAGAACCTGAGGAGGTTGAATCCCGGGATGGGGAGGGCTGATTGCAGGAGCTTCTTGCTGGCTTCCGGCCTCACAGCGCTCTCAGCGGGGAATTTTGATGGGTTCCACCTGCCTGCACCCACCCACTCTTATGAGACTGACTGCCTGGGGTCCCTCCGCTGAGTCACCCTTAAGAGCCACAGACACGATCCTGTCCCACCCCCACCTCCACGCTCTCCCTCCTCCCCTGGGCCTCTTGGTTAGTGCGTATCCATGGAGATGCTCATGGCTCACCTGGCACACACTGCAGATGCCTTAAGCAGTTGTTTAGTGTATGTGTGTGTATGTGGGCGTGTATGTGTGTGTGTGCGCGCATGTGCATGTGTTTCAGTTGCTGCCTCTTCCATGAAATCTTCCTGGTTGCCACACTCTCCAGAAGAGGAACAGATGCTGGCTCTTCTGTTTCTGTAGCACTTTAAGTGACCTTGGTAACTTATGTCTCTGTAGCACAGTTTACCTGTGAATGAAATAAAATGAAAGCAAAGTATGTTTTTTAAAAGGTCTGAGACGAAGCCGGTCATAGTGGCCTTTGCCTGTAATAGCAAAACCCAGGAGGCTGTGACAGGAGCATCACTCTGAGTTCAAGGCCATTCTGGGCTACATAGTGAATTCAAGAGTAGCCTGAACTACACAGTCCTTCTTGAGAAACAAAAACAAACAAAAGGACCGTGCAAAGGCCCTGGGTTCCATTCCCCAACCCTGGGTCGGGGGACTTGTAAATTTGAAGCCAGAGGTGCCTTCACCTGTCCTGTTTATAGCGCCGGCCACCTCCTCCTGGAAGGACAGTGTCCCGGCTTCGGCAGCTGTGACTTCCCTCTTGGATCCCCGTCTACCTCCCTCCCTGGCAGCTGCGTCTGGGGCCCTGCACTGACCAAGCTGTCATGACAGCAGACCTTTTCCTTCAGCAAGGAGCTCACCTCCCACCCTGCAGACACCCACCAACTTTTGTGGGACCTGAGTGCTGGGGCTATGGGAGTCCCTGGCAATTCTTTTAACTTCTTGGTGCTTCCAAATTTCCACCAAATGATAGAGAAACTATCCTTGGCTCTTCTGATAGACAGACTCCTTCCAGCTGAAACACTGCGTGCCTAGTGCATTTTTCAATCCCCAAACTCATGTTGCTCTCGATTCCTGGAACTCCTTTCCCTGCGTTCTCCCTCCGGAACCGCAAGCCTATGTGCCCCTCCTCTCGGTCCCGGCTCCTCCAGGGAGCCTTGCAAAAGCCTCGCTGTGGCCAATGGCGGCGTCCCGTTGCTCCGCGAAGGTTTACCCAACGCAGGGCCTCGCCCAGGCCGAGGTGCGGCCCGTGCTGCAGGCCTGGCCTGAGGGCTTGCTCTCTAGGTCCCCGCCTCTGAATCACCGCAGGAGAACAGCTCCTCAGGCCGAGCCTTGCTTGCAATAGACAGACACACGCACGCTCGCGCCGAGGGGCCGGGAGCTCGGGAGATCGGGCGGGGTGGGCAGAGGGCGGGGCCTGAGCCGGCTCGCGGTGTCCCGGGCAGGGACGGAAGTTGCACCACAAGTACAGTTAGTTTCAGTTTTGTTTCTCTCACTGGCTGTCAGCAACAGCGGTATCCAGGCCGCAGGGGTCCCCCAGGCTCCCCTAGAGCAGCTCTGGCTGGGTAAGCAGGGGTGGGGACAACTAAAAAACAACCGCTGATCTGCACGGTGTGGGGGGCGGGGGGGGGGGCGCGAGGACAGGAAGGGAGGGGAGAGGGAAAGAGGGGTCCGGCGGGAGGGCGGGAAATGGGCACTCCGCCCCCGCCCCGGGGAGCTGCCCCCAAAGACCCTCCCTCATCACCGACCCGCCCCCCCAGCCCCGGGAAAGGGGAAAAACCACCAGATCTCTGTGTGGAGGACCCCTCAGCCCCTGTGCCGGGAGCCCACAGCTCCTCTCCTTCCTAAGTTTCTGGAATGCATTAGGCAGGAAAGGCTGAAAGGAAAGAACTCCGGAACAGGAGCCCAGGATCCATTTCCGGAAATGGGGCAGCAGCCCCCACCCCATGCTGCCCTCTCAGACCCCGGGAGATAGGGCGGCTCGCAGGACTGCCAGACCCTGCCCCAGCTGCAGGGCCAAGGTGACCGCTCACCTGCCGCTCCTCTCCCAGGACACCCAGCGGACCCCGGTACCTGTTCACCCCACCCCTGCCACAGGCCTGTCACCTAGGTTTTCTGCCCTCTAAGGCCAGGGGCCTTCTTGGTCTTTCGTTTCGCACAGGCCTGACTCAACCAGGTTCAGGGTTGCTGAATGTGCCTGGGGAGGAAGAGGAGGAGGAGGAACAGGGTGGCTCCCTAGGGCCAGAGCCAGCTCTAAGTCACCAGGAAGCCAGAAGGAAATTCCTGACCAGGTGAGATCCCAGACCTGAGAATGTGGGGGAGGCTCAAGATGAGGGATGGGATGGAGGCGCCCTCTGACCCCCGATCCCACTGACCCCTGCTTCACAGCATGGTTTCCCAGGGCTCCCCAACCTCCCTACTGGAGGCTCTGAGCAGTGATTTCCTGGCCTGTAAAATCTGCCTGGAACAGCTACACACACCCAAGACGCTGCCCTGCCTGCACACCTACTGCCAGGACTGCCTGGCCCAGCTGGCCCAGGGCGGCCACGTCCGCTGTCCCGAGTGCCGTGAGACAGTGCCCGTGCCGCCTACTGGTGTGGCTGCCTTCAAGACCAACTTCTTTGTCAATGGGCTCCTGGACCTGGTGAAGGCCCGGGCCTGCGGGGACCTGCGTGCTGGGAAGCCGGCCTGTGCCCTGTGTCCCCTGGTCGGGGGCACCAGTGCCGGAGGGCCGGCCACAGCCCGGTGCTTGGACTGTGCCGATGACCTGTGCCAGGCCTGTGCCGACGGGCATCGCTGTACCCGCCAGACCCACACCCACCGCGTGGTGGACCTGGTGGGCTACAGGGCAGGGTGGTATGACGAAGAGGCCCGGGAGCGCCAGGCGGCCCAGTGTCCCCAGCACCCTGGGGAGGCTCTGCGCTTCCTGTGCCAGCCCTGCTCCCAGCTGCTGTGCCGTGAGTGCCGCCTGGACCCCCACCTGGACCACCCCTGCCTGCCCCTGGCCGAGGCGGTGAGTGCCCGGAGACCCGGCCTGGAGCAGCTGCTGGCAGGCGTGGACAACAACCTGATGGAGCTGGAGACCACTCGGGTGGTGGAAAAGGAGGCGCTGGCCCGGCTGCGGGAGCAGGCCGCCAGGGTGGGAATACAGGTGGAGGAGGCGGCGGAAGGGGTCCTCCGGGCCCTGCTGGCCCAGAAGCAGGAGGTGCTGGGACAGCTGCGGGCCCATGTGGAAGCTGCCGAGGAGGCTGCCCGGGAGAGGCTGGCCAAGCTGGAGGACAAGGAGCAGGTGGCCAGGGCAGCGGCTGCCTTTGCCCGGCGGGTGCTCAGCCTGGGGCGTGAGGCTGAGATACTCTCACTGGAGGGGGCGATCACCCAGAGACTCCAGCAGCTGCAGGGCTGTCCTTGGACGCCAGGGCCGGCACCCTGCCTGCTGCCCCAGCTCGAGCTCCACCCCGGGCTCCTGGACAAGAAGTGCCGTCTTCTTCGGCTGTCTTTCGAGGAGCAGCAGGTGGAGGATGGTGGGAAAGATGAAGCGGGTACCCAGGGAGGGCCTGAAAGCCAGAGCCAGCAAGAGGTTGCAGCCAAGCCAGAGGGGCAGAGTGGAGTCCAGCCCCAGGGTAGGGATGGAGCCCTACCCCCGAAAGAGGACAAAGCCCAGTCGCCCCAGGAAGATGCAGGACCCCAGTTCGAGAGGGGTGGCAGATCCAACAAGAAGAAAAAGTTCAAAGGCAGGTGCAAATCCATCTCCCGTGAGCCCAGCCCCGCCCTGGGGCCAAACCTGGATGGCTCAGGCCTCCTCCCCAGGCCCATCTTTTACTGCACCTTCCCCACGCGGATGCCTGGGGACAAGCGGTCCCCTCGCATCACTGGGCTGTGTCCCTTCGGCCCCCGGGAGATCCTGGTAGCCGATGAGCAGAACAGGGCGCTGAAGCGCTTTTCCCTCAATGGCGACTACAAGGGCACGGTGCCGGTCCCTGAGGGCTGCTCCCCATGCAGCGTGGCTGCCCTCCAAGACGCGGTGGCCTTCTCGGCCGGTGCGAGGCTCTATCTTATCAGCCCCAGTGGTGAGGTGCAGTGGCGCCGGGCCTTGAGCCTTGGCCAGGCCAGCCACGCGGTGACCGCACTGCCCAGCAGGGACCGGGTAGCTGTCAGTGTGGCTGGCCACGTGGAGGTGTACAACATGGAGGGCAGCCTGGCCACCCGGTTCATCCCAGGGGGCAAGGCCAGCCGGGGCCAGCGGGCGCTGGTGTTCCTGACCACCAGCCCCCAGGGCAATTTTGTGGGGTCCGATTGGCAGCAGAATAGCGTGGTGGTGTGTGACGGGCTGGGTCAGGTGCTTGGGGAGTACAAGGGACCCGGCCTGCATGGCTGCCAGCCGGGGTCCCTGTCTGTGGATAAGAAGGGCTACATCTTCCTGACCATCCGAGAGGTTAACAAGGTGGTGATTCTGGACCCAAAGGGGTCACTTCTTGGTGACTTCCTGACAGCCTTCCATGGCCTGGAAAAACCTCGGGTGACCACCATGGTAGACGGCAGGTATCTGGTCGTGTCTCTCAGTAATGGGACCATCCATGTCTTTCGGGTCCGTTGGCCTGACAGTTAGAGGGGTCAGGGCTGGGGGGAGGGGGGGGGAAGGTGGGATATGGTGGCTGAGGACATTTCCTGGAGGGCAGGGGGTTCCAGTGTTTCAGCATGAAATGCCAGACTACTAACCCCTTTTCTGATGTGCAGGGGTGGGGACCAATTTCCGTGTGACCATAGAAGCAGTGGGACAGGGGCTGGGGATTTAGCTCAGCGGCAAAAGCGCCTGCCTGGCAAGCGCAAGGTCGTGAGTTCGGTTCCTGGTACCAGAGAAAAACAAACAAACAAAAAAAGAAGCAGTGGGACACAAGGTGCTGGACGTCAGCCGAGCCTCTTACTTTTTGTATGTGACTGTATGCTGCTGGTGAGGCCACTGCTATATAGTTTAAGAGTCCTGGGATTTGTAAGTGTGTCTTGATTTGCATTCTTCAAAACCATTCCTAGTGGAGTAGCCAAGAGGGAGTCCTGAAGAGGCGGGTACATGTTGTCCTCTGAGACAGGAAGGACCTAGAGCCAGGCATGGTGGCAGAGGCCAGTAATCCCAGCACCCTGGGAGGTTGAGGCAGGAGGATTGTAAATTCAAACCCAGGCTGGGTCCTTCAGAGATTTAGTGAGACCCTGTCTCAAAACAAACAGGGCTGGGGATGTAGCACAGGGTGAAGCCTCTGAGTTCCTTAGTACCACCAAAAAAAAAAAGACCTAGGATAGATCAAATGTGGGCATTGTGTGAAGGAACCAAGAACTGGCTGCCCTCAGATTGGCACAGGGGTGCCTGGGGTCACCAGAGCTCTGAGATCTCAAAATGCCTCAGATAACAGTGGCACATCTGCCGGCTGCAGCCAGGAAGTATTAGCTCTCCAGGGAAGTACAGCCTGGGCTTCATGTGGGCCTGAGCGCAGGCGCAAGCAGAGGCGGTAGGTGGTCACCTCGGAGGCTGTGAAGAGAATAGGCGGCCAGAGAAGCCAGCTGTGCAGAGTTGGTGTCTGAAAAGCCGGGTGTGGGGGAAGGGGAGCCCTCCATGCCTTCCACGCAGAGATCATCCAAGGCAACACCTGTGCTCCCTGTAAACTCTCCACCATGCAACACTTCTGTTAGGCTTCCTTCACATTTTCTGGAGTCTTTTTGTTGTTGTTTGTTTCCCCTTAGTTTTTCAGCAGAGTTCCTTGTTAACCTTTGCTTGGCTTTATTAAAGTGGAGAAGTTGAGAGGCTGTTGAGCCCTAGAGGCCAGTGTGGGACTGGCCTGACTGGCCGGGCAGAGGACCGGAGAAGTCGGCAGTGGGGCCAGGAGGTATAAAATCAAGGGAAGGATGCAGTTAGAGGTGACCATGGCCGCCAACTCTTCGTGCAGGTGGTGGTGGCAGAGGGGGCACTGAGGTGGTTGAGTAGGCGACAGGGCGTGGGTAGCCAAGGGCTGTCGAGAGATGAGCAGAAGGGAGTCAATGTAGGGACCACGGATGGTGGAGCCTTCATGAAAACCAGAGGGATTCAGAGCAAGCCCAGATGGAAAATCGGGACACCAAGGGTAGGAAAAAGAAAATCCTTTTCTGGGAAGGATTTCTTATTTATCGAAACAATGGGGCAAACCTTCAGTGTTCAAGTGGACAACTTCAATCATATAAAAATAAAAATACACATACAGCAAAGAATAATGATTGAAAGAAAGCCAGTAAGATAAGACAACTATATAGACTTGATCTGATGAGGGGAAACCAAGTCTCAAATACTGTATGGAATGACTAAGATACCTAATTAGAAAAAGAATGAAACGGGCTATGCACCCGGGGGAAACACAAACAGGCAAGGGCTAGTAAAATGGGAAAAAAACAAAACAAAACAAAACAACTTGCTTTCGTCAAAAATGAATTTTCAGGCCAAGCGTGGTGGTGCACTCCTGTAATCCCAGCCCTCGGGAGGCTGAGGCAGGGGGATCACTGTGAGTTTGAGGCCAGCCCGGGCTACAGAGTTGAGTTCAAGGCCAGCCTCAACTGCATAGTGAAACCCTGCCACAAAAAGACAAAAAAAAAAAAAAAAACCAAACACAGAATTTTTGAAATATGCTAAGGAGAAATATGTAGACTCCTGGCACCATAAAGAATGCTTTCGGTAGAGTAGTGGGGCAATACTTGACAAAAGTTTAAAAAAAAAAATTAGGACTGTCTTATCTCTCTTTGGGGGATACATTCTGGGAAAATAATTTATTAGGAAAAATATTTGCACAGAGACATTTGTGGCTGCCCTTTGTAGTCCAGTCATTAACTGGAAACTCTTCAGTGGTGGAGTGACAGCTAAGCAGACTGTGGTCTGTTAAGGGAATGAGCTCTGCCCTTGAGTATGATGAGTATGAAGGCAATCTGGAAGAGGCAGTTATGTGATGCGGTCATAAGCACGAAAAAATAGGAGATTTTGGAATTATGGTCACGTAGTGATAACAGCAAAGGAAAAGTATGTCTGAAGAGTAATTGAGTGGAGATAGGTTCTGATTTGTAAATAGTGGTACAGGAGGTTGGGTTCTTTTTGAGTTATGTGAGTTATTTTCTGATATTATTCATATATGCACAGTCTACTTCAGCTAGTATTTATCCATGACGTAATATACATGCTTGAATAGTTACTTCCACAAAACGCACCTCTATAAGTGATCTTCGAGAATAACTACCGGAGTTGAGTGGATGTATAGTTAGAACAAATATGGTTCAGAGACGAGACAGGAGCGGAGGAGGAGAATCCCAGCTAAGTTAGGGTTCAGCAAGGGGGAAGTGTCACCAGAGATGGGCCTATCTGGACCTGAAATTGCCCCAGGAAAGAGGTCAGGCCATCCCCATAGGTAAAGGCATAATTGTGGAGTTTCTGGACTTTGGGGCAGTCTTGGGCTCACCGCAAAATCAGACCAAGTGGTGGTTCTACTGAACCAACTAATAAAAGAGAAGTGGTATGAAAGCCAAGATGGTGTCTATCTTCACTGCAGTTCTGTCTGCAGAGTTAGCACCTAATAGTTCATTGTGGGTGCTCAGCAAACATCTGTGAAGTGATTTCATGTTTAGAAAGGGATTCCAGAGATTTTCCCACCCCAGAATGCCATAGCCATAGCTAACTATGCTATGTAAAAATGTTGGCTAGTGGGAAAGCTCCAGTAGGGGGCACTATGGATACAGTCCTTCGTGTGCCTTCCCAGCCTACAGTTGGTGTCAAAAGCAGGGATGAGATCAGGGTGTCCAGTTTTTGTGTTTGTGGAGTGGGGTTCTGGGAGAGTCGCTCAGTTTGGAACAGCAGCTCCCTAGAGATGCATAGGGGCCTTGGGCGGAGGACCTGGTTGGTGAACCAGGATAGACATGGCCCACTCAGGCAGTAAAGCAGCAACTGAGACCTTGAGAAATGAAATGTCCCCTGGCTGCAAGAGAGAATCCCACAAGTGGCTCAAGAGATGAAGTGGCCAGTTGACTTCCCAGGGGGATTGGAAGACAGAGGCAAATACTAAATATTCCTCCTAAAGGGATAGAGGTGAAAGGGTCCTCAATGCTGGCAAAGTGTGAAAGAATGGGAAGTGTAGCTTTGAGCATAATTTGGAAGTAAAATGCTTACCTGGGACCTGGGAATCCTAATGAAAGGAAGGAAGGAAATTAAGTGTATCAGAACATAGTTTAATTCAGTGTTTTTGATGTATAGCAGCCCTCCATGTTGGATATGACAGCTTGATCAGTTGTTCTTTTCTTGGTTGTCCAGGTTGTACATAGACTGGTTGGGAGAATGCTGTTTGGGTAGAGGGAGATAAAGGAGAAGACCTTGTTTATATTCTTTATGCTGGAAAGGGGGAAGAGAATGAGGTAGCAGAGATCTGGGTTGGGTGCTGGCTCTTCCACAAATAGCTATGCAGTCTTGCTCCAGTTCCTTAACAGCAGAGCCTCAGTTTGCATATCAGTAAAATGGGATTGTAATAGCCACCATGCCCACCTCACAAGGTTGCTGTGAGGATGGAATGAGAGGTATAGGGAAGTACTTTGCACATGGTAAAGCCCAACGCCAAGGTATCCATTAGGAAAATTTCACCTGACATCTGTAAGCTTGAATGGGGATGTGACGTGCACATATCGTGATGTAGATGCTCAAGAACTGTCTGGGTAGAGCTGCTGTCTGCGGACTGTCCACCTCTGGAGGAGGCTGTTTTGTTTTGCTTTCCAACAGTGACGTGAAGAAGCCATCTTCAAAGACACGTGGTGACTACAGCAGAAGGGACCAATGGCCAGCTTGCTAAGATTCATTGCCATTCCTAAAAGCCAGCTGGGAATCTGACTGCACTAATTAAGGACTGATGATCGCAGACATTTAGAGAAAGTTAAAAATGGCAAGAGTGGCCCAATCTTTTAATAGTTTAGAGAAGATATAATTTGGGAGGGAATAGCTCTCCTTCACTGTCATCTTCCTATTACTGTATCTACAAAATGATGTCATTTTCTAAAACTGCAGAGACAGAATTCCAAAGGGGCAGAAGTCCCAGAAAGAAATGAAAAAACTTTCAAAGGAAGTTGATGGGGCTGGGGACCTGAACTGGCAAAGTTTGACCGGTGGGTGCCAAGACCAAGGTGTCCGACTGTCTTTCCTTGGCAGGGACGCTGAGACGTTAAGCTGTCCTATAAATTGAGTGGGAGATGGGGCAGGGATGCAGACATCGGCTAATGTTAGGGAGAAAGCAGTTTTGTATTAGCTGAGATAGACAGCTGCCAGAAAGAGTACCCAAGACGATGTTTCTAGCAGGAGAAAGACCAAGTTCACATGCAGGCGTGGGAAAGCAGGTGATTTGATTCAAGGGTAGCGGAACCAGCTTACCCTACTGGCTCACGAACATAGTTTAATTCAGTGTATCAGGACAGGAACAAAGGTCTTCTGAGGCCCACAGACTCCTGTGATTGGAGAGGTGGAGAAGGCAGAGTAAAGTCGAGTAAGACCCCTCCAGAAGTGCTGGGTAAGTGTCTTGGGGGCCAGTGGGGGAGGAGCTGTGCCGAAAGAAATTAGGAAAGTGGGCACAAGGAGCTCTGGCAAGGCAGCCTGACTGTCTCCCGAGAAGGTTGGCTGAGTGGACAAGACAGCCTGGGTTGAGGACAACAAACCAGAGCCTTGGTTCCCTTCCTTAGTGCATAGCCCAGCCCATCTCTGAGTTGCCAGAGGCTCAGGCATCTGTGCTGTGTACTCTTTCATTCCTTTGGTGATGCATTTTGTATCTCTTTTCTCTGTTTCTTTTAATAAAGTTTCTGTGAGAAATTCAGACTTTCGCTCAGATGAGTTCATGGGTATGGGGAGCCTGCAACATTCCGGCCCAGAAAGAAAGCAGAGGAAATCACTATCGTGCCTGCCTTGACGGTGACTCCCAGGATGGCCGCACACATTCCTGGGGGACACTGCAGGAGCCGTAAGGTGTGACACAGTTACCACTGTGGTCCCTTCCGTCTCAGCTCACTCGCTCCGGCAGGAGAGATGGGGTCAGCTGTGCAGAAGTGCATCTCCAGGGCTAAGCCTTCCCAGTGGTTTTGAGTAGGGGATCCAGATGGTGCGGGCTGCACGCATGCGCACAGCTCGGGATATGGCTTCTTGGAGGTGTGACGTGCAGGAAGTGTCTGACAGAGCCCGGCTGAGGGTGGCTGTGCCCATCAGATTGCTCTCTGCCTGTTTACCAGTGTGGGACAATTCAACAAACATCTTCACTAGCTCTTAGCATGCTGATTTGTGACCTTCCCTGTCAGGTCGAGAAGATCAGGATTCTAGAATCCACTGGCCAAACCCCCTCCCCTGACCTAGTCTCCAAGAAATCCTGAATGAGCCTCTGCTCCCCTCTGAGGTTTTCAGAGCAGGATGAGAAAAGACCTTAGCCCTTGGTCTCCCCATCAAACACAGGAAGTCAAACAGCAGTGACTGAGTCCTTGCTTGTGCCTGCTCAGCAGTTGGTCTCTGCGGAGTAGGAATCATTCGCATTATTTGATGGATAAGGACACGTAGGCTGGATGAGGCTTGCCCACGACTCAGACTCGGCTTTGGGCTCGTCTGATTCCAAAGCTGCCCTTCCCAGTTTGACACCAGGTCCTCTGCTCTCCCAGGCAACTCATCCTCGGCCAGGTCACCCGAGTCCATCTGTTTAGAAAGTGACAGCGGGCAAAATGAGATCTGAGGTGCTCACTGGTGCTCACAGAGCAGATGGTCCCTGTTAGAAGAGGTCTGGAATGGAGGTGTTGGAAAGGAGCCCCTGGACACCCCTTGGCCCCCTCCCCTCTCTTGATCTCACTGCCAAGGACCCCAGGGTGGAGAGGGAATGACAGCCGGGGAGGGAATGCTTTGAATGGCTCGGCGAGGGAGCAGGGCCTCTGCCACTGCGGTGACAACTGGCATAAGAATTCTGAAATTCATCGTCTGATGACTCAGCCAGCTCTGGCCTGGCGCCTCCGTGAACCCCGGGGAGCATGACTCAGCACTGAGGGGGCCCGGTGGCAGGAGAGACCGCTGCTGCCCCTGCGAGCCGTGACTGTGGGGAGAACAGGCTGTTCCCAGTTCCAAACCCCACGGTGGTGTGGAGGTGGTGCACCTCCCTCTGCGGTAAGACTCACATGGGCCTCATGCTCCTCGCCATGTGGCTGACCCCATCGCTCCTCCTGTGCACTGCCGAACGTCACGGGCCCGGAGACACCCGGGCCACCTGCGCTGCCCACGACCTTGGTGAGCAACCATGTCCTCGGCGAGAGGCCATGGACACAGACCGCGGCGCTCTCTCCTACACGCACGTTGCGGGGCGTGATGACAAGAGCAACAGAGGCCACGCTGTGGGCTGGGGAAGGCAGGGACGTGTCGCAGGCTGGGCACAGGCTGGACAGATGGTCACAGCGTCCCTCCCCACTGTGGGGGGCTAAGGAAGCGGGCTCTCTGGGCTTGATTTTGCTCAAGGGCAATTTAGAAAACATCTTATCACATTCAGAAACAGCAGTCTATTTCCTCTTCCCCTATAGTAGGTTAGGGACAGTCTGGCTGTCCAGAAGAAAGCAGCCACAGGGGCAGAGAAAGAATAACCAAGTCCAGTCAGGCCGGGGAGTCGGAGCCTGGACCGGGTTGGTCCATGAGAACAGCACACACGGCTGTTCCCTCTGCCTGCCAGGGGGTGGAGGCCCTGGTCAGGCGCTCACAGGCGCCTTCCTCCATGACCCCTCGGGACGAGGGCTTCTGATTCACACGGAGCAAGCACACTGGAAGCGGCTCCTCTGCAGCGATCTTTCACTTTGGAGAACAGAAGAGTGAGTTTATTCCAAACGGAGTCACCTTCCTTCAAGTGGGGCCTGACCTGGGACGGCCTGGCAACTGTACAGCTGGGGAGAGGCCCTGGGGCCACGATTTGTCTTTTCCCTTCTAAGGGAGGCATGAATAATAGTGACACATCCAGTGTCTGGGGAAAAGGATAATAACCTCACCCTGGGGAAGTGCTTTCTGGACTCCATGGCACTTGAAGCTTCTACTGTACAATAACATTTCCTTATTTATTCTGGTGCTTGTTTATGGCTTGTCCCCTACCCCACCACTGCCATTTCTCTCCCAGGTAGCATGTACAGTAAGCCTTTGCTTTGTTCACAGATCCTAAGCCCTTAGACTAGTGGCTGAGCCAGAGTAGACATTGAATGAATGGGCAGATGAATGAATGAATGAACGGAGGGGAAGGAATGAATGGTACTTGGGAGCACTTTCCACCTGCTGTGCACTCTCCTGAACTCTCCTTTAGTCTGCCTTGGTACCAGGAGGTAGGTATTACTGTCACGCCTGTCTCAAAACCGAGGGCAGTGAGGCTAGAGGGATCCAGTAATGGAGGCCACCAGGAGCTATGCAAGTAGCCGGGCAGAGCACAGAGCCTGCGCCGCCCCGGGGAACGCTGCCCTTGAGGTCTTCCCGGGAGGCCACCTCCTACCTTCATCTGATCTGCTGTGTTTTCTCCATCTCCCTCCCCGGCAACCTCCCAAAATATCTCTCTGCCCTGATGCACAGCTTCTCCTGGGCTGGGAAGATTTTCTTGATGGCAGGAAAGTAGGAGTTGGCGGAGGCTGGGGCAGCGAGGAGCTGGTGGAGGAGGTGGAGGGTGGCCTGTGTTCACGTTGCCCAGGCAGCGAGGCTCCTGGGGCTGCTGTCCCCGTTCAGCACCTGCAGAGCTGGTCTGGAGAGGAGGCAGCATCCTGGGTAATTGCAGCATTGCAGTAGCTGGGACCTTGCCTGTGCTCAAGCAGGAAACCCACAGAAAGGTGACCTAGGGGGTCCCCCTTCCCAGGCTTTGGCCTGGAGCCTCTCACACAGTCTGTGAGTCAAGGGTTAGCATTAGAGAGGGAGCTAGAGGCATAGAGCAGTCACCTCAGTCCTGATCCCGCCTGGGAGCCTGGAGCCCGCTTGAATACAGGCCACGCTCCTTCAGCCTTGCCTACCACTTTCCCTCTCTGTCCTGTCTGGGCCTGTTTTTGCATTTTTCTTTCTT